CCCCCTTCCCTTGGGGTGTCCCTCCGGGGTCAGGGGGCCCGGGTTCCCCCGGGGGGGCGGAGGCGGGCCCCCCTGGGTTTGGGGGTTCCCCCGGGTGCTTTTCCAAAACCTGGCGGGCAAGCAACCCGGGCCCCCCGGGGTCCGGGGCTTTCCTAGGTGGGGGCCGGGGGCCCCCCTGGGGCCCCCTCGGTTGGGCCGCGCTTCGGCTTTGGGCCCGCCGAAGGTGGGCCTTGGGTTTTCCCCGGCAAACCCCGACCCCCCTCCCCCATTTGTTCTCCTCCCCTCTCGGGGGGCGGTGGGGGGCGTCCTCGAAGGGTGTTGGGGCATCTCCTGCGAACCAAGAAAGCAGGTGCGGGGTGCCCAGGTGGGCGCGCGGAAGCCCCCGGCCGAGGGCGCTGCCCAGCGGTGGGCACCCTGTGCGCTCGCCCCATCCCTGGCCGGCGGTGTTGGGGGGGAGGGTCCTCCTTCTTCCTGAGAAGGCGCCCGCCCGCCCGGCAGCGGTGGAAGCTCAGCACCTGGTACCGACACAGCGGTCTTTGGGGTCCAGAAACCCAATGAGCTTCGGCTCCTCGCTGGTCCCCACTTTCACTCCGGAACGTCCGCGCGCACAGGCTCAGTGGCGGTTTGCAGCCCTGCCTGGAGGGCTGGACCCGCATTTCCTAGGAAAACAAGGTTCTCGGGATTTGGGAAGGAGCTTTGCAGGAGCTGGGAGCTCTGCATAAAGGCAGCTGGGGTGCGCCTGCCGCCCAGGGCGCGATCCCACCCGCCAGGTTCCGCCGGGTGCCGGGGGGGATGGAGCGAGAGGCGCGTGGACGTCCCTCAGCTGTTCTGGTGACCTGAGCACAGTCGGTCCCCAAGCAGCAGAGGCAGGGCCAGCTGTGTCCTGCCAGGGCGGCTTTGACTTCCTCCGTCTCAGTTTGGAGGTGAGGCTTTCTGGAGCGGGAGAGGACAGAGCTGGGGGAAGCCACTGGGACGTGAGAGGAGCCAATCCTGGAAGGAAAATTGAAGCAGAGGGAGGGAGAGAAGGAAGAACGGAGGAGGAGGAGGAGGGCTGCTGATTGCCATTTGTGAAACTGGCAAGTTTTGACTTGGAACTTTAAGAAAAATTGATTTTTTTCCCCTAAAAAAAAAAAAAAAGAGGAGAGCTTTCTTAAGGTTTCAGATGAAATCTGCCCCCTTGTGATGCAGTGAATCAATCCCCTCTGGGAAGAGCAATGAGGAAGCTTGCTATCAATACCAGCCTCTCTGGGTCGCTGGGAAGTTGAAATGATTGGGTAGCTTCATCCCCGAGAGATGGTAAAGGGGAGGGAGTGGGAGGAAAAAGAGGTGATGCGTGTGTTTCTTGTTTTTTTTTTTTTTTTTTTCAGGAAGGTTGAATTTGTCTGTTTGGTCGACTTAGAACAGGCTTCTTTCTACTACACTCGGTATTTTAATCACCTGACAAACCAAATAAAAGCACCTGATTTATGGTCTGTCGTTTTATTTGGTTAGATTGTAAACAGAACCATGGATTTTTGTGTTAACAAGGTCCATGTTCCCTTTCTGATGTTGAACATTTCCAGGAGTCTGATACTCAGACTGTGTGTAGATGGGGACTGGATCATTTCACCCTGGTTAGTTGGAGTAGCCATGGGAAATGTGTGAAAGTAAAGTCCTCTGTTATTTCCATAGAATTCTTTAGGGTTCTGAGGAGATCCAGTAAGGATTCTTAATCTAATAGTCTTTTAGTTTTTTAATAACTTTTGACTTTATAGTAAAATTTTGATGATGCCTTCTATGCTATTTTTCACTTAACAAGGTATATAGTCTCCCCATGTCAGCCACTTGTCCGGTAGACTGATTTTTAAAGAAAATCTGGGTTGAGGAATGCTATTTGTCATTGTAACTGTTCCTTATCTAATGGTTAAAAATCGAAGACATTTTAATGCATTTTGCGTTTGTGGCAACTGAGGGTTTACTTTTGTTTTAGTGAATAAATATTTTTTTTGCATTTAAGAGATTTATTTCACTTCAGATGTATTTCAGTTTACGTACGATGGATTTTTATATGTGCATTTGACAGTAATGAGCCAATGGAGACTCGGAAGCAGTAGGCTATTTTTGAAAGTAAGTGTTTTTACTAAGTTTTGACCATTTAGATTGTTGCTTAGAGACAAGTTTTCAGCATAATGTGCTTTTCAGTGGAGTGTTTTAAATTTAGTTTGTGATCCTTATTCTTAGCTGTTTAAATCCTGAAAGCATCCCGAGTGGTAAAGCTGGGTACCAGCTACATTATTCAGTAGGATCACAATAATAGTTCTTTTTGCTGTGAACCATGCCTAGAGACCTGGGTTATTTTCAGTGCCTTAGCCAAATGCGACGACTTTTATAGGCTCTATTGCTCTTTCTGCTCTGAAAATAACTGCTAATGGGTAAGGCAGTATGGAAAACAGAAAGCTTTTTGCTCTTTATTGTCACCAGAGAATTATTTAAGAGTGAAATGAAAAGGGCGATCTTTTTAGAACTATGTTTAGGAAGCTGACCAGCATTCTTGCCATCGTGGGCTTTCCTGGAGCAGCTACTGTGCAAAAAGTAGATGTAAATGTTATTGTCATGGTGATCGTGACAAGAAAAAAGCTTCAGCGATGAATTTTTAAAAAAATGTACAACAGTGATGTTAAACAAATACACAGCTAGTACCTTTAAATTTTTGTTTTCAGACACAGTACTGAATGTTAATGCAGTGAAAAGAACCTTCTTAGCCAGTTTTGCGAAGCTTTCTTTAAACTCAATTGAAGTAATACGGCAGCTTTCGAACATTGGAAGTTTCGCAGCATCATTTTTAAGTAGAAAATAATCTAGATTTAACACATATTACTGAATATTTACTGAGATGGAGGCATCATGAGTAACATTTTTGCTGTCCGTGAAGTAACATTCCAATGATAGAAACTGACATATACCAAGGAGTCAAATCAGAGATGATGGTGTCAGGAGAGGTGCCAGTAATTTTCTTTAGGAGACTGGAGGAAGAATTATGGAGAGAATTCCTAGTGGAAGATTCGGGAAACATTCCACGTCAGGATGGCATTTGAGCTGGGCCTTGGACAGGGAGATCACAGAGCTGGGATTTTTTTTTTAGGATTCCTTGAAAGGTGAACCTGGACCACATGTGAGGGGCACTCAAAGATGATCATGTAAGTTTTAATTTCAGTATCAATTATGTGCTTTAGAAAAATAGCCTGGAAGCTGAGGAAGTAGACTAAAATACTCCCCCAAGATTAGACTGTAATTGCTTTCAACGTGATGCTTTTCACTTTTCTTCTTCTTACAGAATAGGTTGTACATATCTGTTTGCACCTGTTGTTTAGACTTTATTATTGTTGTTGGTATCATTGCTATTATTATATTTCTCACAGGAGCAATTTTGTTTAGAGAAAAGCAGTTAATTTATCCTCTCTGTGCTTGAATGCACGCCTAACCTAGATTGCCAGTTGGTTCTATTCTCTTGTGTTTCAGGTGATTTTTCGAGGTGAGAAAATGTTTCACAGACTTGGTACTGAGCCATTGACAAACATCTGCTGTTTATCATATGGAGAGCGAGTCTGTGGCTGGGAGGGGACAGCTTCTTCCTTCAAGAAGACCTGTGTGGGTTTGTTTTTAAAAGCAAGCAGAGGTTGCTTAACACAGTGTCAGGAACATGGTAGGTGTATTTATTGAATGAAGAAAATGTGCACTCACAAGGAGCTGTGTCATGACAATTAGCGTTGATTGCTTAAGTGGAAAATTTGTGTGTTTTCAGATTCTAATGAAACGATTAGCCTGTGATTTGTAATAATTAACATTATAGATATCACAGATCTTGTTTCAGAAGTACGAACCTGATTCTTTTTTTATTTTCATTTGTATGTGGTCCTTTTCTGAGCTGCTTTTGTCAATAACATTTCAGATATTTTACATATTTTTTTAAATTTAATATCCAAAACTATTAGTTTTTCATTTATATATTTTTCTTTTCAAAATACTGATTGAGGCTGGACATGTGGTGGGATGCAATCCTCCCATCCTGAATTCTTCTTGTAATAGAATCAAGGCCCAATCACCCTCATAGTGTCAAGACAAAAATACAGGGAAGTTTGGAAACAGGAAGAGGTAATGAAATGAAAAAAAATGAGCAGGAAGCAGGAGTTGGTAAGGCGTTGGAATCATCTTCAAATGCCCAGAAATATGGAACTAGAATTCCACTTTGAATGTGCCTGGGAGGGATGGGGCAGTGTCTCTCCCTTCTACCCCACATCCTTTGCCATCTAAGCACTAAGAACATCTGAGTATCAATTTAGAAGACTTCATTTGAATGTATTTAATTGTATTCTCTGTTGGAGCTCCTTTGTAAGACTTATATAACATGGAAAAAGAAACTTGTCTTTTGTCTTTGACAATTACATAATGACATGCAGACCGGTTACAAGATGATGATGGTGATGATGACATTGATAGCAAAGGATTTTTAAATTTTTGTTTTAATTAGTTGTAAATAACTTTAACAGAAATGAGATCATGGTATTAGTGCCATGAACAATATGATGCCAGCTCTGTAGAAACCCCGATTTTAAGGGAAAAAAAATGTTGTCTGGGAATAAATTCTTAGTAAATAACCAAATAGGTTGAGGATGATTACAAAGTTACTACTTGTCAAGGTGACTCTGCTCTGTGGAGTGAATACTTTTTTGTAAATGATTTGGTTTTGACCTTTTTATCTTTCATTGAAAAGGCAACAAGATGATTCCAAAGACAACAAGATGATTCAGAAGGGCTTTGTAACTGCAAGACTATACTTTAGGTATCCATGTCTCAGCTTCTTTAGTTGAAAGTCGGCATGCTGACATTTGCCACCTGCCGATAATCCTAGATGATCTTCTTTGGTGCATTATAAGCTTCTTAAGGGACTATTACTGGAACCGGATGCCAGCTCGCACGTGGAGATGATCCATGTTGCATATAGGACTGAGGTAACATTGAGAGGCTGAGTTAGGATGGAAATAAACATTTGTTTTATCTGAACTCTGGTCCTTTTAGTCCAAAGAGAAAGTAGAGATCTGAAAGGAGGAGAAGAGTGGTAGTTGTCCTTAAGAACTGAGTCTGCCATCCCTGACTGAGCCAGTTTGCTGCTTTCACTCCAGTTTTCCGGTAATACTTAAAATTAGTTACATCCATTACCAGGTTTCCTTCCTGACATTATATTTATTTGTCAGTTTCACCTTCTTCCAATATACTGAGTTATTATTTTCTTGCTCGAAAGACCCTATGCAGGTGTGATCATAGAAAGCTGACCTCAAGTTTTCAGTATGTTGCTTTAAAGGCACATATTATTATTATTATTATTATTATTATTATTATTATTATTATTATATTATTCTGAATGGTTTTTGAAGCAGTGAAAGGAAATGATTGAATTATAAGTTACTTAGTTGCCTCTATCATTTACATGCTTTGTAAATAGTAGGGCATTTTATACCAAAAGGAGAGGCATACATGTTAAGTAAAATCATGTAAAGATGTAATGCTCTTGTCCTGACACATCTAGAAGAGGTGAGAAAATAGAGAGTTAATACGGACCAGTTTAATACAGGACATGATTAATTGCCAAATGAAGTAATAGAACAGACTCTGAGTCTGAATTGAGAGCTTTCTGGAGTGTGGGAAGACATATGAAAGTGGGACTTGAGCTACGTCCTGAAAATGATTTGGAGGAAGAAGTTGTTTTAGGAAGAATGAAATCAGGAATATGCAAACCCTGTCAGGAACACACTTTCCTCTGTGTAGAGAAAAATCAGGAGAACTAATCTCAAACTAAAACGTAGCTTCAGAGATTTGAAATAATTTTAGAGTGTGAATACATGTACTTTTTCTTCATGAAAATCTTCATAATTGTCTATATTCAGATTTTATTAATATTGTAAATGTTCTCTGTACCTAGAAAGTTGGATTTAATTTTTTCATGTTTATGATGCAATTTTCAAATCTCAGGGTAAGTTTGCTTGCTTTTCCCTCCTTTACAGCCTTTCTTTTTCATCCCCAAAAGCATAAATCCTGGGTACACAGAAAGTTCTAAATACATTGTTATTTATTAGAATGCACTATTAAACTGGGGAGGAAATGCATTTCTGTAACTTCTGAGCAAAAAAAGTAAAAAGCATTTTCCTCAAATATTTCTCAAAGTTTGAGGGACTAACCTAAATGTCCTCAGTCCAGTAATGCCGCCACCCTGCTGGTATGTGAAGTCAGGACAAATAGAGGCTGGAAGAGATTTTAGAGATCACTTAGTACATTCTCATTTTACTGCTGGAGACCTCAGATCCACAGAGCAGGCCCATCTGCTTCTCAGGGCCCACCTCCCTCCCTCCCATGTGGTATATTCATTGATGAAACGTAGGTACAACTCACTAGATTTGAAACTGGAAGAGATGTTCTTGGTGTTTCTGGAAAGAGCCAGAGGACTGTCTGGCTTTGTGTTTGGTCACTAGTATTTCATCATAACTGATAGGTTTGGGCAAAGACCTGAGGATCACTTCTGCCACTGTAGCTCATAATATTTTCTAAAGCTTTTTGACAAACATCAATGTGCTAACTCCATTAATTCTTTTTTTAAAATTGGTATTGTTGAAACTATTACATTGGTCCTCCTTTTCCCCCCCATTGAGCTCTTCCAGCCCATTCTTGTCCTCCCCACAGCCCCAGGCCCTCACCATCCCATTGTCTGTGTCCATGGGTTCTGCACATATGCATACAAGTTCATTGGTTGATCTCTTCCCACCCACCCTCCCCTGCCTTCCCTTTGAGGTTCAACAGTCTGTTCATGCTTCTATGACTCTGGATCTATTTTTGATCATCAGTTTATTTGGTTCATTAGATTCCATCTATGAGTGAGATCATGTGATACTTATCTTTCTCTGACTGGCTTATCTCGCTCAGCATAATATTCACTAGCTCCATCCATGCCTGTTGCAAATGGTAAGAGTTCTTTCTTTTTTATTGCCACATAGTATTCCATTGTGTAAATATACCACAGTTTTTTAATCCACTCATCTACAGATGGGCACTTGGGCTGTTTCCAAATCTTAGCTATTGTAAATTGTGCTGCTATGAACGCAGGGGTGCATATGTTTTTTCTGATGAGTGTTTCAGGTTTCTTAGGATGTATTCCTAGAAGTGGGATCACTAAGTCAAATGGGAGTTTCATTTTTAATTTTCTTGAGGACACTCCATGCTGTATTCCACAGTGGCTGCACCAGTCTGCATTCCCACGAGCAGTGTATGAGGGTTCCCTTTTCTCCACAACCTCACCAATACTTGTCATTGGTTGATTTGTTGATGATATACATTCCGACAGGTGTGAGGTGATATCTCAGTGTCATTTTGTTTGCATCTCTCGGATGATTAGTGACTTTAAGCATTTTTTCATATGTCTCTTGGTCATCTGTATGTCCACTTTGGAAAAGTGTATATTTAAGTCCTTTGCCTATTTTTAAATTGGATTGTTTGTCTTCCTTTTGTTAAGTTGTATGAGTTCCCTATATATTTTGGAGATTAATCCCTTATCAGATGTTTCATTGTCAAATATGTTCTCCCATGTAGTGAGGGTCTCTTGTTATTTTGATGACCATTTCCTTTGCCATGCAGAAGCTTTTTATTTTCATGTAGTCCCATTTGTTTATTTTCTCCTTAGTTTCCATTGTCTTAGGAGATGTATCAGTAAACATATTGCTATGGGAGATGTCTGAGGTGTTACTGCCTATGGTTTCTTCTAGGACTTTTTTTTTTCAATCTTTTATTTATTTATTTATTTTACATATTTTTTAATTGTTTAAAGTATTACACATAGTAGTACATATATCTCCTTTTTTTCCTCATTGCCCTTTCCCCAGCCTCTCTTACCGCCTGTCGCATGCCTTCATCCCACCTCCCCAGTGTCTTGTGTCCATTGGTTGTGCTTATATGCATGCATGCAAGTCCTTCGGTTGATCTCTTTCTCCCCCTCCCCAACACTCCCCAGCCTTCCTGCTGTAATTTCACAGTCTGTTCGATGCTTTACTGCCTCTGTATCTATCTTTTTGTTCATTAGGTTATAATGTTCTTTATTTTCCATAAATGAGTGAGATCATGTGGTATTTTTCTTTCATTACCTGGCTTATTTCACTTAGCATAATGCTCTCCAGTTCCATCCATGCTGCTGCAAATGGTAAGAATTCCTTTTTTTTTTTTTAATAGCAGCGTAGTATTCCATTGTGTACATGTACCGTAGTTTTCTAATCCACTCATCTGCTGATGGGCACTTAGGCTATTTCCAAATCTTAGCTATGGTGAATTGTGCTGCTATGAACATAGGGGTGCATATATCCTTTCTGATTGGTGTTTCTAGTCTCTTGGGATATATTCCTAGAAGTGGGATTACTGGGTCAAATGGGAGTTCCATTTTTAGTTTTTTGAGGAAACTCCATACTATTCTCCACAGTTGGCTGCACCAGTCTGCATTCCCATCAGCAGCGCACAAGGGTTCCTTTTTCTCCACATCCTCGCCAGCACTTGTCGTTTGTTGATTTGTTGATGATTGCCATTCTGATAGGTGTGAGATGGTACCGCATTGTCGTTTTGATTTGCATCTCTCAGATAATTAGTGACTTTGAGCATGTTTTCATATGTCTCTTGGCCTTCATTCTGTCTTCTTTCAAAAATTATCTATTTAGGTCCATTGCCCATTTTTTAATTGGATCATTTATCTTCCTTTTATTAAGTTGTATGAGTTCCCTATAAATGTTGGAGATTAAACCTTTATCAGTGATAACATTTGCAAATATGTTCTCCCATACAGTGGGCTTTCTTGTTGTTTTGTTGATGGTTACCTTTGCTGTGCAAAAGCTTTTTATTTTGATGTAGTCCCATTTATTTTCTCTTTAGTTTCCATTGCCCTAGGAGCAGTATCAGAGAAGAAATTCCTTCAGCATATGTTTGCGATTTTGCTGCCTGTGGATTCCTCTAGTATTTTTATGGTTTCCCATCTTAACGTTTAAGTCCTTTATCCATTTTGAGTTTATTTTTGTGAGTTGGTGGTCTAGTTTCATCTTTTTGCATGTATCTGTCCAATTTTCCCAACACCATTTATTGAAGAGACTGTCTTGACTCCATTGTATGCTCTTGCCTCCTTTGTTGAATATTAATTGGGCATAGTGGTTTGGGTCGATTTCTGGGTTCTCTATTCTATTCCATTGATCTATACGTCTGTTCTTGTGCCAGTACCAAGCTGTTTTAAGAACAGTGGCTTTGTAATACAGCTTGATAATCTGGTATTGAGATCCCACCTACCTTGTTCTTCTTTCTCAGGATTGCTGCAGCTATTCGAGGTCTTTTTTTATTCCAGATGAATTTTTGAAACATTCGTTCTAGATCTGTGAAATATGACATTGGTAATTTAATGGGGATTACAATGAAACTATAGATTGCTTTGGGTAGTATGGACATTTTGATGATGTTGATTCTACCAATCCATGAACACGGTATGTTCTTCCATCTGTTTATGTCTTCCTCTATCTCTTTTTTTCAGTGTCCTGTAGTTTTTCGCATATAAGTCTTTTACCTCCTTAGTTAAGTTTATTCCTAGGTAGCTTAATTTTTTTGGTGCGATGGTAAATGGAATTGCTTTTTCAGTCTCCCTTTCTGTAAGTTCACTATTGGTGTAAAGAAATGCCTTAGATTTCTTGGCATTAATTTTGTATCCTGCTACATTGCCGAATTCATTTATTAAGTCTAATAATTTTTTGATGGAGTCTTTAGGGTTTTCTATGTACAGTATCATGTCATCTGCAAATAAGGACAGTTTTACTTCTTCTTTTCCAGTTTGGATGCCTTTTATTTCTGCTTCTTGTCTGATTGCAATGGCTAGTACTTCCAGTACTATGTTGAACAGGAGTGGTGAGCAGGGGCATCCCTGTCTTGTTCCTGTTCTTAGGGGAAA